CTGGGAGTATTATTGCTGTGGAGCTCTGTTATACACTCAGACACATTACTGGGAGTATTATTGCTGTGGAGCTCTGTTATACACTCAGACACATTACTGGGAGTATTATTGCTGCGGAGCTCTGTTATACACTCAGTCACATTACTGGGAGTATTAATGCTGTGGAGCTCTGTTGCTCTGTTATACACTCAGTCACATTACTGGGAGTATTATTGCTGTAGAGCTCTGTTATACACTCAGACACATTACTGGGAGTATTATTGCTGTGGAGCTCTGTTATACACTCAGACACATTACTGGGAGTATTATTGCTGTGGAGCTCTGTTATACACTCAGACACATTACTGGAGTATTATTGCTGTGGAGCTTGTTATACACTCAGACACATTACTGGGAGTATTATTGCTGTGGAGCTCTGTTATACACTCAGACACATTACTGGGAGTATTATTGCTGTGGAGCTCTGTTATACACTCAGACACATTACTGGGAGTATTATTGCTGTGGAGCTCTGTTATACACTCAGACACATTACTGGGAGTATTATTGCCGTGGAGCTCTGTTATACACTCAGACACATTACTGGGAGTATTATTGCTGTGGAGCTCTGTTATACAGTCAGACACATTACTGGGAGTATTATTGCTGTGAAGCTCTGTTATACATTCAGACACATTACTGGGAGCATTATTGCTGTGGAGCTTTGTTATACACTCAGACACATTACTGGGAGCATTATTGCTGTGGAGCTCTCTTATACACTCAGACACATTACTGGGAGTATTATTGCTGTGAAGCTCTGTTATACCCTCAGACACACCAACAATATCAAGCTCGTAGAAAAGAATGGATCCAAGAAAATTAATTGCTCTGAGGACCTGTCTATCCCTAGGGCCATAGGCGGCTGCCTAAACTCACCTTATTCCTAATCCAGCTCTTCAGGCAGGAATCCTACTCATTAGTAAAAAATTAATCCCAAAACGTCAGCTTGAATGAAATTAATTAATTGATTTCCCTCTTGTAAGAAATGAATATTTATATCCTGGGCAGTCCTTTTCATGCTCTGCCCACCACCGGGGAGACGTTACATGTGTCTGGGAAAAGACTGGTAATCTGGTAACTGTAACGGAAGCAGGGTCCGTGATCTACGAAGGGATTATAGTACGCACTATAGAGAGATAACCCGCCTTCTCCAGTAACCGAGAGACAATGAACAAACCCTATGATGGGGCGATTTGTCAGTCATGATTCACAATCCCGTCTGGATATTTATGAGGGTTTTTTTCCTTCCAGTAAATTGGACGTTTGTCCAAACTGTTGTGGTTAGACTGAGGAATGTATAACTATAGTGTTCACAAAGAGACGTAGGCTGACGCTGGATCTGGCTACAGCGAGATTTAATAATGATTACCGCTCTGAATTTTAACTGTCATATGCTTAACCGCGTCGCAATACATGCCTTTATTCCCACGCCAGGTGGAAGGGTGTGGATACATCAGAATCCAAGCCAAAGAGGCCTTTGATTTACTAAAATACTTAATTAAAAAGGAAAAGTTGTATCACTGTGGCCAAGAATCACATGAAGAATTATATTAAGAATAAAAGAACAAACGTGTGGGTCTGTTTAAAAAATAGACCAAATCTGGATAGGGCAAAAGTATTTAGCAACAAAACATTGAAATATTTTTAATTCCGAGGTAATTTGCAGACATGATCCAGCGTTACGTGAGTGAGTTTATTCGCTAAATTGTGAATTGTAGAGAATTGCAAAGGGAATGGCAAATTTTAGGGGCAAAATTGCAAATTAGAAAAAAAAAAATCATTAAAATGCATCAGTTTTCTAACTCATCTTTTTTGACCTAAAATTCCCAATATAATAAATAGGTCTCATATTGTTACTCAACAGGATTGCTGGGGTTAACCCTGTGAGTGCCAACCTCTCCTGCGAAGGTTTAATTACCTCAGCGCGATTTCATGGAACTTGATACTCTGCGTGTGCACGGATTCCGGAACAATCTGTGAGAACCGTTTCAGCGATCTGATAAATATCTGTTTCCGAGAACCAGTTTGGTTTAAAATAGATGCAGATTTTCAGAAGTTCTTGGTCGGGTTTCAATTACCTGCATGTTGTTTCTTTATGGTTTATCTTCAAATTCTCTTAGTTTATAGAAAATAAAAGTAAAAAAAAAAAAAAAAAAAACTATTTCACAGCTAATATAATCCAGCTCAGGCACGGATTCTCGTGAGTTCCGTTCCATCCATTAGAACCATTACAAGCTGAATTGACAGCACCGAAATGCAAGATTTGTGGATTCCACTTTGCCCGCCATATTTCCGAAGAATGCAAAAAATATCAACGCTTCCTGTAACCAATCCGCAGATTGATAGGGTTATTCCTATAGGGCAAATTCTCAGGAATTCGAATTTTAGGTCAAAGTAAGTCTAAATTTAGATCTGAAATTTCAAATAAACTTTTTGAATTCACTTTGAATTCCTCTCATTTCCGGTTAGTGAGTTACATTTTCAGAGAAACAGGGAAAAGGTTAGATGTTTTGGCTAAATCTGGTCCAGTGATGTGTTGTGCAGTGCAACAGTAATCAAGCAATTCCAGCACTTCACACCACAGAGGAACACAATTCTAAAAAATGTGATAAAGATCTTAACCTGTTACCTGAACGTAGCAATAAACTAGCTGGTGTACAACCATCAAAGTTGCAGGTTTCGTTCCCAGTGGGGTAACTCAGTCCCTCATCCTTGTGAAGTTGACAGTATGACTACACTTTTTATAAGATAACAATAAAGCAAATTATACTGTGATCTAAGTGTTTGGACGTCCATTTAGGGTCAAAAAAATGTGCTGTGCGAATATTTATTACATTCCACCAATTCTGTCGCAATTTTTTCAGCAATATTTATCATTACTACTATTCCCACCATCATAATAATAATAATAATTATTATTATTATTATAAAACGCTTGTAAGGATTTGTCACATATTTAAAAAGCTTTTAACTTTTTTTTGCAATTTACCTAATTTGTTCTGAATTCACCAGGATGAGTTCCAGTTCAACCCCCGCTGTGTTCCCTATCGGCCCTAAATGTGCCCCACATAGTTTAACAGGTTATTTACTAAAGTGGGACTTGAGTAGAATTCAAAGTGATTTTTAATTTTAAGTCCAAAATCAACAATTTGAGCAATTTTTGCTTTAAATTTGAAATTCACTATGAATTCCCAACAAATCCAACTTTAGTTGAAAGAGAGTTTCCCGGAATGAATAAATCCGAGCCGTTGGGCAGATCCTACCCTTAGTTACAGGGGTCTTCATCCCACCATTAGTGATACGTTTGACATATTTTGGAATATTGAATAACCCTGTCATAAAACCCATTCATTACAATTTCCGGGGGAAACATTATAAATGGATGTCAAAATCATTACAAAGTCGTATTAGCCCGCTCGCTGTGAAGGAGGTCAGATTGCATTTAGAGAAAAAGTAATAATCACATGAACGCGAAAATACTGCTCTCCGGGAGTTAAATAAAGACGACTTGATTAACCAACGAGAAAAATAAAGATTATTCTATCAGCTCTGAACTCTCTGAAAAAAACATAAAAGCATTCTTACTAAGTAACCTCATCGCAGTCTAAACCACAGGCCGCTTCTTCAAATTCAGCTGTAACATTCGACTATCACTGAGACTGTGTGAGGTCCTTCCAACCTCTACAAAGGGTTAGGAGCCAAGCCGGCTGTTTATGCTGTGACTAGGGAAGAGGTATATTAGCAGATGTAACTAGAAAGCTCATTTGAAAGGCGAACCTCTGCTATATTATCCAGATATCTTCAATTAAAAACTGAATTATTTTTATTTTTTTTTATAAATAAATATAGATATTATATCTCAATACGATATGCTTACTATAAAATCCAAAATAAATGCAAACTGGATGAGGCAAAGTGATTCTTCATGCCAATTCCACTGTTTCTGTGAATACAAATTCCTGGATTCAATCCTTCTAAGTAAAGTATACATGCTACCGCCACTGCAGTTTGAAGCCCCTTTAACTTGATGCAGTTTGCCAACCTGAAACTTGCCAGCCATCCCCAGCTTGGTGCGACAGGAAATATTTATTTTTATCTTTTAATCAAGTTACATTATATCAAGAACGAGTCTCAATTTAATATTGTTGGTTAAGTTTTCAAATAATTTAACATTTTTGGATAAACTTTTAAAATATTTTTTTTTTGAAATATTAATATAAAATAAAAATATATCAATATATAAAAAATAATATCAAAACATTAGAAAATGGAAATATTTTTTTATAATATCAAATCATTCTAAAGGTTTATCCAAAAATCTGAAATAGTTTAGAAAGAGTATCCCACAATATTAAATTGAGGGCTGAGTTGCGAGAAGTGACTACAATAATAAAAATGTACTTTTATGGCTGGAGTGCATAGTGTCCAGCCGGATAGGGACAGGGAGATGAAAGGATCATTTTTAAGAGTAACATTTCTGATAAATTAGCGTTAAACAGCCGCTGCGTGACCACAGAATGATGTTAAAAGAGCTATTCTGGGACTAAATGTTAAATGTGGGCAACTGTTTCTATAATGACTGCTCAATTTCCCACAATGCCCCTTTTCACAGGGCCATTATTATCAAACAGTTGGATTCTGGGAGTTGTGGTCTTTCAGCAGCTGAATTGAGTTTATTAGTATCAGTGATAAGGCTACACATTGAGCCAGCATGTCGCACTGTTTTGTGCCTAATCACAAGCTATCAGGCGATCCGTCACACCACGCCGGCTGACCTAAACCGTTTTTTTTGGCAAGTTAAATGATATGTTCTTGGTTCTGCGTTGTGTAGTTTGCAGAAGACATCGTTTTGTGAGAAATGGATAAGATGACATCCATCAGTGGGAATCTGAGATGTACAATTATTTCTGCATTCTATTCCCACTACCCAAACGCAGAGACCATATGACTAAGTACCCCTCCTTCCTAATTGCACCTCAATCTTTCCAAAGTGATTAATGTCTCCAGCTAATTGTGCTTCTCTCTCACCCAGAGCCTCCTCTCCGCCCCTGTTATTCTGCACTGGGAATGGTGTCTACTAGCTATCCCAGCCACATGGCGCTCGCTGTGGGACGTCACACTCCGGACTTATCATAACATCAAGACTGTCCCCAGGGCGATAACAAGATCAAAGGGAGTCTGTGGCAATGATTAAATTACAGGCCGCTATTGGTAAATTTGTTATCGGGTCTCCGTCCCAAACTTCCAGGGTTCTGCAGTCTCCGAAGGGAACGCCAATCTGGGTTAAAGAGCATCTGTCATTCAGAGTTATCATAGTGACACTTTGTAGTCAATTTTAATAAGTGCTAGATAGATATTCTAGGGTAATTCGGCATTGCCAGTGTGTGCGGTGCCTACTTCCCAAAAACTCGCCGATCACTACCAGAAGACAGTCTGTTAGACAGTAATACTGACTGCATATCGGGGCGAGGTCTTTTAGCAAAAGTGGTGTTAGTGAAATGTTTAATTTATAAATTTTCTGCTGATATTGTGAGCCTAACAGGAGAATTACATTTGAATACTTATTTTATGCAGATCTTGTCATCGAGACCTTTGTCGTGACCGCTAGGAGAAACAAAACTTGCCCGGACCTCCTGGGAAGCATGTTTCCTAAGATGCTAGATCCATGCCAAAACAGCAAGCCCCACCTGGGATAGCTCTCTCAGTCTCGCTTTGCTCTCTGTACCGTTTTCTCTGGTGTTATTACCATATCCCAGGTATAAATCTAACTTGGGGACAATAGTTTTGTTACCGGCAAGTCAATGCATTTCTTTTGCTTTTTCATCCTCTTGCAAAGAAAATGGATTTAATGCAAGTTTCTCCCCATCTGGAGTTAATGTGCACCCCTCCTGTAGGAGCCCTTTTTGTATCATATGTACAAATCCTGCACATGGAAGGAATTTAATACTAAACGGTCCGTGTAATTGTTGAAACGTAGAATGTTATCTGCCGTGAGCGATGTAAAGGGAAGGGAAGAGGACATTGTGTAGAAAGAAAATGTAAACTACTTCTGGGGTGCAGGGATCATAAAACTGGAACCCCAAGATACATGTCTCTGCACTGTGTACAGATACACTGTCAGTATATCACTGGGATAGTTATATCTTATATTTTATAAAGCTCCAACATATTCCATTGTCCTGTACAGCAGATAATGTCTGAACATGGAATATTTGGGCTGCTCGGTAGCAAATTGCCTTGGAACCCTCATCACCCATCTTCTTCTGCTCTCTGTACAAACCAGAATTGTGACAATATATTTATATTGAGCAATTCTGTGACAAAGAGCAAAAAACTAGAGCCAGAATGGCAGATGTTTTGAGTGACGGGGCAGAGCGTGTGTAGAGCCGACTGGTATTTGGGTCGGCAGCCAGAGACGTAGATTCTGGGAGCCATCACTTTTATTCTCTAGCCAAGTGCAGATTGGGGTCACAAAAAGAAGAGGCAGGTTTACTAGAGAGACAGTAGATGGGGTCCTCCAGTTGCCGGCCATTTTCAATAAACATGATATGACGCTTGCCCCCGTAGCCCCAGCTTTACCTAATTCAATTTATGCAATCCACAACACTTTCAAATTGATGCTCCCTGCATACCCTGTCTAATTAAGTCATGGTCCGGTATTTCGATGCCAAGGCCAGCTGAGAGGTCATTAGTTAGTGCCCCTACCACAGCAAACAGAGGTCAACTATTGTTTACAGAATTAGTATTACATCTGGGGCTCCTATTATAAACACGCATGACGGGGAATTAACTTAATACACAGAGTGTTTTAATAAGGGACCCGGCCTGGCCCTAATCTGTCAAGCAGTCATGCCTTCATTACCATTTTAGCCGAAATCCAAAGAAAAAGAAAACAATGTTTTGTCGTCCTGAATTTCTGTGAGAGCTTGACAAAGGCCCCAGTGGATGTCTGAAATGGGAGACCCCGCAGAAAGGAATAAAATGCCTTTAGACCATTCAGTGAGTGCGGGATTCCATCATCAATCGGGGCCCATAGACTGGGGTCACAGAGATATGGGTTTTTTTTTCTCCAAGTGTTTTTCTTTAATTTGTATTCAGTTTTAAAACAGATGACCTTTCACCTCCTGTGCTCGTTATTTTACACAGAATCCATTTTCCTGTCTTTATACAGCTGAGAGTCATTTGTCAGGCCAAGCTAAGGACTTCTTGTCGAGTGATGGCTTCTGTTAAGCTCCCTGTTTGCTGCCCTGCCCAGCTGAAAACACAGGCATGGGGGCAACTCAACCAGGAGGTCAACGTCCAGAGTCTGGATCTGGAAAATCAACGTAACCCCCCAACCTGTGTGTTTATTACTATTACTACTTGGGGATTGGTGGTACAATAAGGGATCATATTAGGAATTTATCCATGAAGAGAAACATTGCGCTCTTCCACCCCTACTTAACACCAGATGCGGATAAGGTGCTGGTCCAATCCGCTTCTCACCGGTCTTACGTGCTCCTAAGTCTATAATGAATGCAGTGGCGAGGCTCATCTTCCTGTCCGCCCGCACGCCTCACCCTTCTGTCAGTCCCTACATTGGCTTCCCGTAAGATATAGGGCTCAATTTAAAATTCTGGTTCTTGCTTTCAAATCTCTACATAATGCTGCTCCCACCTATCTATCCTCCCTAATACACAAGTATGTCCCGTCTAGGCCCTTACGCTCTGCTGAAGACTTACGTCTATCTTCTGTCCGTACTCCCACCTCTGATGCTCGCCTTCATAACTTCTCAAGGGCTGCACCGTTCCTGTGGAACTCACTTCCCTCCTCCGTTAGACGCTCACCCAGTCTCCACTCCTGAAAAAAAATAATTTAAAACCCACTTCTTCATAAAAGCGTATCAATTAAACTGTTAATGGCTCCAAAAAAACCCACACTAAGCCTTCATTGAATATTCTACCAATCTACTTCCCTAATACTATCCTTACCTTTTGTGTCACTGTGTCTGGTTACAATTACATGTTTGTTAGTCCACCCATTGTAAAGCGCTACGGAATTTTTTGACGCTATATAAATATCATAATAAGAAGAAGAATTCTTAGTCACGCTGTATAAGATCGGCAGGAACATTCCTTTTTTCCATAGTAACTGCTCTAGTTTTAGAATTACTGCTTCAGACGTTCTCTGTAAAATACCGCTGTACCTCCATGTACAGCATGAGCTTGGCAGACCCTAAGCCCCTCACCCTCTCCATGGCCCCCCATTACAGTTATTAGAAAATGGACCAATGGAAACATTATTAAGCTGAGCAGAAATTAGCGTTTCCGTTTTTGTAGAGAAATAATTGCTTAAACATACAATATCTGTATCTACTGCATTTTAAAATCTAGCAATTTTTCTGCAAATGATAAATATTAAAAATGAAGTCAAACACTTTGATTATGACATATGAAGAGGCGTTCACATGTTTGATATTTTGTCTGTGACATTATTTTTACAGCAAGAAAAACCGTAGCAGAGCTCCTAATAATATCTGAGCTATTTAAATATCTATAAGTGGCTAAAATTTAAATTCACAATCAATCATTGTTAACGAAGTCATGTCTGTCTGTCCAGACATCTTTCCATCTGTCTGTCAATACATATAAATTCTTTCAGTTTTTGCCTATTCTGTCTTGTCTGTCTGTTTCTGTCTTGTTTGTCTGTCTCTGTCTGTATGTGTCTGTGTATTTTGTCTGTCTGTCTGTAGCTTGTTTTTCTGTCTCTATCTATCTTGTCTGTCTCTATGTCTGTGTGTCCAGTTATTTTATGCCTCTGGCTGTATATATTGTCTGTCTGTCTGTCTATGCATTTAGTATCTCTCTCTGTCTCTATGTTGTCAATCTGTCTGTGTGTTAAGTGTAATTTAATGTGTTTTTTCTGAATATGTTGGAGTTCTACTTTAAATAATAGAACAATATGTTTATAGAGAGTGCCAGATTCAGACACAATAAAGAAGCAGTGAATGAAACCAATTGCACACCCCATTTAACGCCGCTTGCCATGATGCTCAGCTCGTCGATGACATTTTTGGGATGTCAAGGTTATCCATTACCAAACTTGGGGGTCTTGTTCAGCTTTAGTACTGGGTCTCTGGCATAACAAGGGACAGGACAATTACTTGGTTTAGTTTACATTCTCCAAGGGAAGACATTTATTTTCATTTTTAGGGATTCTTTTTATCGACTTTGTAATCCACTAATACCTTCACTAAACTCGCCCCGCTTTCTGCGGAACGCCACTTTCTCTTTGAGATTTGCAAAATGCAAGTGAACAGTAAAGAAGAAACGCGTTCGTGGAAGAGAAATAATGACCTCAGGAAATGTTACTAATTAAGATGTAGAGAATGCGCACGCTAATGGCCCCCTCTCTCTTTTTGAACTGTGACATTTTAATGAGGGTGTTTTAAAGAGTGGCAGATGAGTGAAAATGGTGTTTTTGAAACGTTCGGTCTTGGCTTCTTTTCAGGGTCTTAATTATGTTCGAAAGTCACTTCATGCGGCTCCCGCCCCCTCCTTTGATAAGCACTTTCACAATTATTGGGAGAAAAAAGCTTTTTCCTCGTTAGCTGCATGTTCAGTACTTGCTCTGTTGACTGATAGGGTGTGTTTGTGTACTTGTGTTTGTGTGTACATGTATGACTATGTGTGAGTAAATGTATGTAAAAGAGCGTGTATTGCGCATGTATATGTGTGTGGAATGTGTGTATATGTAACTGTGTGCATGTGTGTGTGTATATAACCGTGTGTGTTTCTGTGTAACTGTGTGTGCATGCATGTGTGTCTGCATGTAACAATGTGTTCATGTGTGTGCTTGTATGTAACTGTGTGTGCATGTGTGCGTGTAACTGTGTGTGTAAGTAGCCACGCATGCATGTGGGTGTATTTGTGTGCATATGTGGTGGTTTTGTATGTGTGTGTATCTAACTGTGTGTGCATGTGTCTGTGAGTCTATGTGTAGTACCAGTGCATGTATGTGTGTGTGATTTTGTGCATGTTTCAGGCCCTGGGGAGATAGCGCAGCTAAGCGGACAAGGGCACATATAGGAGTGTGGGGATAGATGCATGGGATTTAATAAATAAAGTTATGGATGTGTTATGCAGTAATTTAGTTTGTTATAATAAATGCTGTGGCCTGTTCATCCATACTAAGTGGTCTGTCGTTATTGGGGGGGTAAATGGGTTTAGATTTGTTCTAGGCTGCATCGCGATTCCCCACTACGTACATACATGTGTGTGTTTGCATGGACCAGTTGTTTTATGTTTCATTGTATCTGAGGAATACCAGCCATCCAAGGGAATACAATCTCTTCCAGCAGGTAAATGCCCAACTACGGCTGGGATATTGAAATAAAATGAGGTCTGCAAGAGGGAGGAGGAGTTCCTTCTTTTGTTAAATAAGATTCCGCCCTCTTCAGGCATCTTGTTTTGCAAGGCCTTGCTCCTTCCACAATAATTAACGAGTAATTAGGAGATGAGAGGATAAAGGGAACTCTTGCTGCTGCCAATGACATGCGATGGGGGAACTGTCAATCACACGTCTGATGTTCCAGAACAGGCACATTGCAGAGATACATTGTAACGGGTCCTTCTCCACCTTCTGGGTCACTCTGAGCGAGGAGAGGGATATTATCAGACAGGGTGAGGGGGCGCTGGGTCACTCGGGGCGAGGAGAGGGATATTATCAGACAGGGTGAGGGGGCGCTGGGTCACTCTGAGCGAGGAGAGGGATATTATCAGACAGGGTGAGGGGGATGCTGGGTGACTCGGGGCGAGGAGAGGGATATTATCAGACAGGGTGAGGGGAAGCTGGGTCACTCGGGGCGAGGAGAGGGATATTATCAGACAGGGTGAGCGGGACGCTGGGTCACTCTAGGCGAGGAGAGGGATATTATCAGACAGGGTGAGGGGGACGCTGGGTGACTCGGGGCGAGGAGAGGGATATTATCAGACAGAATTGAGGGGCAGCTGAGTGACTTCAGGCGAGGAGAGGGATATTATCAGACAGGGTGAGGGGGACGCTGGGTGACTCGGGGCGAGGAGAGGGATATTATCAGACAGGGTGAGGGGGCGCTGGGGCACTCAGGGTGAGGAGAGGGATATTATCAGACAGGGTAAGGGGCGCTGGGTCACTCGGGGGAGGAGAGGGATATTATCAGACAGGGTGAGGGGACACTGGGTCACTCGGGGCAAGGAGAGGGATATTATCAGACAGGGTGAGGGGGACGCTGGGGCACCCAGGGTGAGGAGAGGGATATTATCAGACAGGGTAAGGGGGCGCTGGGTCACTCGGGGGAGGAGAGGGATATTATCAGACAGGGTGAGGACACTTGGGTCCTTTCAGGCGAGAGAATATTATCAGACAGGGTGAGGGGGCGCTGGGTCACTCAGGGTGAGGAGAGGGATATTATCAGACAGGGTGAGGGGGCGCTGGGTCACTCTGAGCGAGGAGAGGGATATTATCAGACAGGGTGAGGGGGACGCTGGGTGACTCGGGGTGAGGAGAGGGATATTATCAGACAGGGTGAGGGGGACGCTGGGGCACTCAGGGTGAGGAGAGCGATATTATCAGACATGGTGAGGGGGCGCTGGGTCACTCGGGGCGAGGAGAGGAATATTATCAGACA